GCCCCATCCAGCTATGTTTCTGTTACTGATTTCTGGTTTAATTCCACTATGGTCTGAGAGAAGACGCTGTATGATTTCTGCTCCTTTACATGTGTCACAGTGGGTTTTATGGCATGGATTGTGCTCCATCTTGGTAAATATTCCATGGGAACTTGAGAAGAATGTGTATTGTGCCATTGTTGGATAAAGCAGTCAATAGATATCAACTATATCCAGTTGATTGATGGTACTGAGTTCAACTGTGTCCTTACTGATTTTTTGCCTCCTGGAGCTGTCCGTTTCCAATAGGAGATGTTGAAGTCTCCAACTGTAATAGTGAATTCATGTATTTCTTCTTGCAGTTCCATCGGTTTTTGCCTCATGTACTCTGAAACTCTGTTGTTGGTGAAAACACGTTGAGGACTATTATATTTTCTTGGAGAACTGACCCATTTATCATTATGTAATTACCTCCTTTATCTTGGATATCGTTCTTTGCTTTGAAGTCTACTCTGAAATTAATATAGCTACTCCTGCTTTCTTTTTATTAGTGTTAGAATGATTTATTTTTCTCCATCCACTTTTAATATATACATGTTTTATATTTAAAGTGGGTTTCTCGTAGACAATACATTGCTGGGTCTTAAGTTCTGATCCACTCTACTTCTGTCTGTCAGACCATTAACATTTAAAATGATTACTGAAGGGCGCCTGGGTGGCTCAGTCAGTTAGGCGTCCAACTCTTGGTTTTGGCTCAGGTCATGATCTCAGGGTAGTGAGATTGAGACCCGCATCAGGCTCCACGCTTAGTGGGGAGTCTGCTTGAAGATTCTCTCCCTCTGCCCCTCCCCACACTTGTGCATATGCATGTGCTCTCTCTCTAAAATAAATAAATAAATCTTTAAAACAAATAAAGTGATTATTGATACAATTGGATTTCTATCTACCATATTTGTTACTCTTTTCTACTTGATGCTTTTGTTCTTTGTTCCTATTTTTGTTTCCTTCTCTTTCTGCCTTTTCTGGATTTAACTTAGCACTTTATATGATTGTATTTTCTCTCCTTCTTAAACATATGTTGCACTTCTTCTTTTTTTTTTTAACTAATCCAAGCCCACTTTCAAATAACGCTCAAGTGTAGTGTGAATAATGACAAATAACAAATAATCCCAACTCCTCCCTCCCAGCCATTGTATCCATATTATTATTCATTTCACTTATTCATAAGCATAAATAAAGGTATCTATCCAACTACCTATCAGCATACATAACTGAATCCATAGTTACTAGTATCATTTTGAAGGAACTATTTTCTGTTAGATCATTTAAGAGTAAGAAAAATAAGGGTCACCTGGGTGATTCAGTTGGATAAGTGTCCAACTCTTGACTTTGGCTCAGATCACAATCTCAGGGTCATGAGATCAAGCGCCACGTCCAGCCCCGAGTT